GTTAGGGTTTAGATAGGGTTTCTGCTCTGGTTTAGGTTAGGGTTTAGATAGGGTTTCTGCTCTGGCTTAGGTTAGGGTTTAGATAGGGTTTCTGCGCGGGGTGTGGCAGATGTAGATCCCACACGGGCCCAGTAGGACCCGTCAGGTAGGTAGGAAGGGGTAGGGACTTAGCTTCGGGCTGGCGCAATAGTTTTAGGGCCTGTGTCGATTCAGGCCAGAAAAAGGGCCTTTTTAGCCCCACACTTGTTTCGGCCTGGCCAGGCCCTGGTACCGTTTACGGTTCAGGCCCTGGCCTCCTTTTTTTCCCAGGGCACACGTGGACCGTCAGATTCGATCCAAGTGTACGGCCTGATTGATTTCCAGGCCATTCATTCTGGGACTCATGTTTAGGCCAGTAGGACCTAGGAGAGGCCAGACCAGTAGTATTTACTATGTATAGACTGGTCTACCTCTCACTCGGTAGGTTAGGGCGAGTTAGTATTCAGCATTATGCTGCGCTAGTCTTCAGCGCTGGGCGCAGTCCCGGTAGGTTAGAGATAGCGATCATGGAGGCTGCAATGGAGACTGCAGCGGGAGAGAAACGGAGGCCAGAGACTGGGACTTAACCTGATGACTCACCTGGGAGTGCCATAGCTCCAGCTTCGTCGTCAGCGCTCCAGTATGTTACAATCTGCGCCTGCAAACGAGGGCCACTTTCAGGCCCTGGGTCGTTTCAGCCTGAAAGCCTGAAAACAAGGGCCTACAGGCCCTGTGTCGTTTCAGCCTGAAAGACTGAAAACAAGGGCCTACAGGCCCTGTGTCATTTCAGCCTAAAACAGGGCCCTCCAGGCCCTGAGTCTTTTCAGCCTGAAACGGAGGGCCATTTTCAGGCCCTCATAAGATCGACCTGCCCTGAAACTCAGGAACCAGACCAGGGTCTTAGCACAGGCCATTTTGGGCCTGTTTTCAAGACAACCTTTGTTTGAGCTTCAACGCCATTGTCTGGCACGTTTTGGCAGTGGCAAGAGCAGCCTCCTGGACAGGCCAGCACTATATAAGACTGGCTCGCCCTGCAGGCTGCAGGTAGTTCATAGGGACTTCCCAGGCACTTCATGTGCAGTTCAGGAGGCAGGAGGTAGTCTTCAGGATTCGGCAGCAGCACTCTGGAGGAGCGCTGCAGTAGTAGTAGTAGCGCTAGCAGTAGTCTTCAGCGCTGGGCGCTAGTAGGAGCTAGAGTAGTACTGGAGAGAGGGAGAGAGATTGGGCGGAGGCCAGGGAGACTTACCTGCAGCTCCATAGCTCCAGCTTCGCCTTCGAGGTACCTGCAGCACAGCGCCATCTTCACAGGTTAGTACCTGGCACATGAGAGAGAGAGAGAG